TTTAAAAGCCACACATTTTTACCTTGAGGACGTACTCTTTATTGATGCTGTCGAAAAATACCTTTGATCCCTCTTTGAGCGGCACCCCGCTTTCTCTTTTCCATGTAACATGGGGCTTGGGGTTACCTATCACTTTAGCTCGGAATATAGCCTTATCTCCTGTTGGCAAGCAACACAGAATGAGATTTGAACAACAAATGCGTTTGAATGTATCAGATTTGCACGTTTGCGGACAATTTTCAGGGAGCCTCAAGACTCCTAGCCTCTTTTTTTAACAACTAAATGAGATCAACAAGACAGGTTAGCCATCTGTTTGGAGTCGGGTATTTATTTTTATTTTTATTTATTTTTTACTTCATCAAGCATGAATTAGATAACAGATATATGTATAAACATGATTATGAATACATGAAATGGATATAAATACAAGGAAACAATAGGACAGAGATGGCAGGCACTCTGGTGTGCTTATGCACACCCCTTAAAGACCTCTTGAAGCTGAAGTATTCATTGATAGGTAGGACATTGTAGCATATAATTTTATGTGCTACGCTTAGGTTGGATCGGAGACGGCGAAGCTCTAAGTTGTCTAAGGTCAAAATTTCAAGTCTGGTGTCATAAGGTATTCTGTTGTAAGCAGAGGAGTGAAGGACTCTTCTCATGAAATATCTCTGGACTCATTCGATTGTATTAATGTCTGATATGCAGTGCGGGTTCCAGGCAGATGAGCTGTATTAAAGAATTGGTTTAGGAAAAGTTTTGTATTTCCTAATTTGCAGTTCAATATTACCGGAGAAGAAGCTATGCAGGATTAGATTTAAAGCTCTTAATGCCTTTTTGGCAATGTTGTTATAGTGAGCTTTGGCAATTAGATTGTTTGAGATGAGTACTCTGAGGCCCTTGACAGAGTGGGGGTTCTCTACAAAGTCATATCCACCCAGCTTGTATTTTGTGTTTTGATTTTGTTTGCCAATGTGTAAGACAGAGCATTTGTTGGTTGAGATTTGGAGCTGCCAATTGTTTGACCGTTCTGACACATAGTCAAGGTCTTTTTGTAGGGTAGCAGCATTTTGTAGGGTATCGCCAGCACATTGATGATAATACCTGTCCCAAGATCTACATACTCAGTGGTACATCTTGACTCCCTTGACTGATGCAGGCACAATCTTATCTCAATATCTGAAGGTTGCCTGGATGGAGAGGAACAGGGTCAAATTCAAGCTGAGCAAGATTAAGTGCCCGTGGGTGCTTGATTCTCCCAGTTCTGGCGGGGACCTTCCACCTTTGATCAGGACTGAGGAGCAATCTGAGGTCTTCCTGAACTCTCAGCTCTTGCTTGATAAGGAGTGGAAGCCATGGCCACACCTTCAACTTGTACATCTTTTGTGCCCATTCCTGGATTAAGAAGCCCTCTTTATGGGATTTGCTTAAATATTGCTGAGAAACTACAGTGGATGCAACAATGACAGAAAAGCCTTGCTTTGTCTATGTAACACCCATGCTAGGTGCAATTAAAGATGCTAGTAATTACCTAGAAAGTTTACATAGTATAGCTATGTATAGTATAGCCTAGCTACTTGAAGGACCAGCTTTCTCCTGCAGTTTTAACCTATCAGGTGCAAAAAGTCAGGTTCACATGCAGAAGTTCCAGACAAATTATTGTTAAAGTCTAAGCACAGGAATCTTCTCAGACTAATGGTTAGCACCTGGTTAGAACTGGATAATGGTCAACACCACTTGCTTGTGGCTATGTAAAAATTCATAACCGATGTCTCATTTAACTCCTTACCTGGGTCTGCCAGTCCTTCTCCTAGACGATCCATTCTATGTGTTCCAACAGAATTGGTTCACTTATCTATGAAGTGATCTGATCTTGAAATGAGGCCACTCTGTCACAGCACTGGTCCTTTGAAACAATATTTCCCCCACACATTTAAAAGCTTTTCCCCTTGCCCACCTTCAAGCTATCTTATAAATGAGCTTCCCCTCCCCCCCCAGGGCTAGGATTAGGGTGTTGGGGAAAATATAACTTTTCAGTTGGGGGAGATGTGGATGGAATTTATACTATCCCTTGGATCAGTGGTGGGATTCAAAAAAAATTATTACTGGTTCTGTGGACGTGGTTTTGTCGGTGTGGCGTAGTTTTGTGGGCGTGGCAGGGGAAGGATACTGCAAAATGCCCATTCCCTCCCAATCCTGCTAACCTGCTTTCCAGCTCTGTTCTCCTGTTAAGGGCAACAAAAGAAGATCAGGTGGGAGACTGGGAGTCAGCGGGGGAAGGGCTAACCTATTTGCCGGTTCTCCAAACTACTCAAAATTTCCACTACCGGTTCTCCAGAACCTGTCAGAACTGGCTGAATACCATCTCTGCCTTGGANGTTTGGTCGTAGGGTCATTTTTTTCCCTCCAGAGCCTTCAGGGAAGCCTCCGGAAAGCCACTGAAGGCTCCGGAGGACTAAAACCTGCTCTACGAGCAAACTGGAAGTCCATTCCTGAACTTCCGGTTTGCCCATAGGGCTGGTTTTTTGCGCTCAAGAGGCTTCAGGAAGGCTCCTGAAGCCTCCGGAGGGAGGGCCTCCGGGGGAGGGGGCTGTTTTTGTCGTCTCCAGGCTCCTATAAAGCCTCTGGAGCCTGGTGGGTAAAAAATGGCCTCAAAAAAAGGCTGAAGTCAGCTGGCCAGCACGGGCATACGCGCTGGACAACTGTCAGGGTAACACCTCACATGCCCTGACAAATGACTACGCTTGCCACTTGTGGCACAGGTGTCATTGGTTCGCCATCCCGGGTATAGGTTCTCCTACCTGAGTAGAGAGTTGGATTAGAAGATCTCCAAAGTCCCTTTCAACTCTTTTCTATTTTATTATTCTGCTTCCCTGAAGTTCTTCTACACTCTGCTATGCTAATATACATAGTCCTCAACTTAAAACCGTTCATTTGGTGACCAGTTACAACAGCACTGAAAAATGACTTATGAGAGTTTTTCACATTTATGATTGTTGCAACATCCTCATGGTCACATGATCAAAACCCACACACTTGGCAACTAACTATATTTATGACTGTTCCTTTTGCAATCTTCTGACCAGCAAACTCAATTCAGAAGCCAAATTGACTGCAGTGATTCACTTAACAACTGTAGTAAGAAAGATTATAAAATGGGGCGAAAAACTCACTGTATAACTGTTTCATTTAGCAATAGAAATTTTGGGCACAATTGTGGTAAGTCGAGGACTATCTGTAGAGTATATATTAATATCTGAAATTAGAATTACTTGTCTCGATATACAGCTCTTTATTTGCCATACTGAGCAAAGGAGATTCATTATACCTTTTTATGGTGAATATTTTTAGACCAAGCATTTTGTACCCATTGCAAGAAGTGAAATTTCTTCAGCCTCCTGCTTTCCATTTTTTTACTGATATTCAGTGGAATTTAGTCAAGAGTAAGATATAAGACCTTGACTCGGACAAGCATGATGATTCTTCATTGAAATAAATCACTTTTTAAGACACATGTGTTGTGAATGGGCGATGCAATGTCTCAGTGATTAAAGATGTTGTGTTTGTCATCTGGAAAGTTGTCAGCCTGGGTTTGAGACCAGAATGCCGTGCAACAGGGTTAACTCTCACTTGCCCCAGCTCAAATGTCACAGTTTGAAAGCATGCAAATGTGAGTAGATAAGTAGGTACCACTTTGGCGGAAAGGTTACTGCGTTCTGTACTTTCATACTGGTTACATGATGTAAGCACCTCTCAGATACACAGGTTCCCTCAATTGAGAATCAGAGATGAGCAACACTCCCTTGAGTCAGTCATGACTGGACAGGGGAAATTTTAAACTTAAATGTTGTGAGTGGAATTGCTTCTCCTTCTGGTTTATAAATGGACACTACATTCAGACATGCACAACTCATTAGCTTCTCCTATGACTTCCAAATTTACTTAAGAGCCTTTAATGAAGGGATTTTGTTGATGCAGAAGAGGCCCAGCTAACTTCAGGAATATTTAATTTATGGTTTCAGCTGGAAATATTACATGTGAGAGCTTGTTACTCTCTTTTACAATTGTATTTATTTACTTACTAGCATTTTTTCAATTACTATATTCTACATTTGTACTACCGCAAAGAACTCTAAATCCTTGCTTCCAATTGAACCACGATCTGATTTAAAATAGGATTTAAACTGCGAGTTAGGAATGTGAAGAAGCATTATCATAATACATACAGTAACTATATAACAAATTCCTCCAGAGTGACAATGCTAAAACTATAATTGCAATCTTATTTTTAGAACTGATCCAGGGACCATAAATTTTATCCATTAAGTCTCTGCAATAGAAAAGCCCAAAAAATTTCCCCTTTTAAAGCATCAAAAAAAAGCTATACCAAAAGAAAAAAATTTAAAAAATTCTATATTTTCCAGTAATTGTTTGCTTATTTCTTTATTCCAATAGCAACCATCATAGTACCTAATTGATACTATATGTCATTTAAAAATTTTAAGTACATGAGTGTTTACTTGCTTTTCAAATACTTGCACTTTTTTTTCTGCTTTTCACCTAAGAAAAAACTGGCCGCCTATTTTTTTTGTTTGTAGCCAAGATGGGTATCTTCACTTTGTGTTTTTTGCTTTACAATGACACTACAGTCACTATACTTTGTAGGACTGATTGTTTTCAACAAGTACACAAGGCACAAAACATGGGTTTTTTTCAGTATGAATTCACTTGAATCCTTTAATGCAGAGGCCCAGAAGATTTTATGATATACACAGTATCCGGTAGTTTAAAATGTAAAAACAATCATTCAGAAAAAAGGCAGAAAAGTTAGTTTTCAAGCTTAGTAAACATACATTACAGACTTCAGCAAGACAGCTATCAAAGAGATTCACATTGTATTTGGATCTAGTAACAAGGGTTTGGGTTGTTTTTTTTGTCTTTTTAAGTAGCAAAAGTGATGATGTTTTAAATTTCTGGAACAAATGAAGCTATCAATTTTATTTACAGTATAAACAGGAATTTTTATTTTTAAAGTGAAGATATCACCCTGTCACATGTTGAAAAAAAGCAGTATCTTAATTCTCGAATGCAAAATAAAGCAATATGAAAGTAAAACTATATATATATATATTTATATTTATATGTATAAATAAATATCTTCTGCTCTGAAATTCTGAAATCTTCTCAGCTCGGTCGTACATGGGATTCTGATCAGAGTTCCCTTGGTCTTCATCATAATAAATGATTCTGAATCTTCATTCTTCTGCTGATGCTCTAATGAATTGCTTTTCATACAAGCTCATGACATGGTGGACAAACTGATATTGTTCACTAGTCTGGATCATTCCTCCCCTGGAAAGACAAGCAAGGAAGAATTTAAATTTTTAAAAGATGAGGAAACTAGTTTTACTTCCAGAAAAGTTATACAGTATAGTACAGTCCTTGATTTACAACCACAAAGGAGCCCAAAATTTGTGTTGTTATGTGAGACATTTCTTAACTGAGTTTGTCCCATTTTAAGACTTTTCTTGCTACAGTTGTTAAATGAATCATTGCTGTTTTTAAGTTAGTAACACAATTGTTAAGTGAATCTGGCAAGACCAAATATAAAAGGTCACATTTAAGACTGACTTAGGAAGCAGGCAACTTTATTGCTAGCTCTAATGCTTTTTCATAAAAAGGTGTTGTGACTCAGCAGAAGTCTCCTGTGAGTCTTTTCGGGATGCAAGATTAACAATGCAGCTGGGGCTCATTAGTGGCGTTTTCTGGTGATAAAAGGACGGATGGTGCCACGCCCTGGTTGCAGGAGTCAACGTTCATTTATTCGTTCATCATTCATCGGTCATGGTTTGTTTGTGAGAGACACTTGGAGAAGTGATTTGCTTTCTGTAACCCTGATTCAAGGAGACACTTGGAGAAGTGAATTGTTTTGTAAGAGTTTTGTTTTGCTGTTATCTTCTTGTTAGAGACTTGATTTATGTTTATTTTTGGGCTCGCAGCCAGTCTGAGCCGAGAACCACGACCGATGATCAAGGAACGAATGAATGAACGTTGACTCCTGCAACCAGGGCGTGGCACCATCCGTCCTTTTATCACCAGAAGACGACACTAATGAGCCCCAGCTGCATTGTTAATCTTGCATCCCGAAAAGACTCACAGGAGACTTCTGCTGAGTCACAACAGATTACTAACTCTAGACTTTTAAAATATGAA